ACAGCTCCCTGATGCAGCCACCGGGGACTGCCCAAATCAAAGATCTCCGAATCTTTGCCGAAGATTTGGAGGGCTTTGAATTGATTTGGACCTTTAGATTAGTCCCCTGATTTGATTCGGATTTGCAGATTTGGCTACTGAATCTGGCTAAATCTCCTCTGAATCGAATCACCACCCAAAGCTTCGCATAGCCTTGCTTGCCTCCTCCTGTATGTCTCTTGCCTGTTCCCTGAGGGACAGCACCAGGAGGTACTGCTTACATTGCAGGCACTCCCCCACCTGGCTGTCACTGGAAGGAGTGTGCAACCACAGTGTATGCAGTGCCAAACCAGGACCTGGGTGGAAGCCTTGATTGCGAGCAGTCCTGCCTGGACAGATACCTGACAGGTGCAAGCAAAGGAAGAGCTGGCAGTGGCAGTGGCTCTAGCACTGCAATATCCTCCAGCCATTTCTATGGGTTTCTTAATCTACCACCTCTACTCCTACCTCTCTCCTCAAGCAGACCTTCCCTAGCAAACTCTCCTGTAAGCTAGCCTGGTTATTGCTCCTTGGTCCTGAGAGGTTCCTTTTTGCCTGCTAACCTGCTTCCTCTCACTAAGCTAACAGTGAAGGAAGGCGAGAGAGAGTTTCCAGGTAAACTCCCTAGCAAGCTGTCCCTCGCTCTGGACTCTAGTTAAACAAGAAACTTAAGTATTGGTCTAACTGATAAGTATTAGCTACTTATGCTTAATATATATCAATTAGTTACTCCTAATTAAAGAGAGTGCTTAATTAAAGGCTCCCCTTCAAAGAGGGGGGCAGCAAACTGATTTTTTTTTTTTTTGAAATATCATGTCTTGGGCCAAATCAGTTTGGAGTTCTATTGACTGAGCAGACCTCAATCATTCAAGTTTGCTTATAGTAAATATCAACGCAACAATTATAAGGAATGTGTTGCTGGACTTACCTAGTTAAAAGCTTTGCTATCTATTTTGTGAATATAGACAAATGGATGACTTGTTATTGCAAACTCCTTATAAAACCATTGGATCTGCTTCTCCTCTTGTGCTAATTCTATCCCAATGTAGCTCCATTTTCCATACTCTTGTTTTTCCCTGAGT